ATACCTTTTTTTTCCCCCCCCCCCCCCCCCCCCCCCCCACAGCATGACCCCTCTAAAATGGATTCTAGGTGGCCCCTCCAAAATTCAAAGTTGTACAGCAGCCATTTGGCCATTGGCCTATTGTTGGGGCCGATCACAAAGATAATTTTTTTTTCTTTTTTTCGGGCAGATATTTTGTATTTCTGCAAATCCCCTCAATGACAACAAATTTGGGCTCCAATGTCCTTGAACAACTTCCTCATTTGATATCTCTACATTGATATTTTTTTGATCCAGATCCTAAAAGAAGAGTACAATGTCATTGTCAACACTGGTTTAATCAATTTTATTTGTTTATTTCTTAATATTATTTATTTCATTTCATTTATGAAGGCCGAGGGCGATGCATTATGGTAATAAGTAATAGATTGTTTTATAAAACAGCAATAAAATTAATATCTCACATCACGAGGCTTCTTAGTCCGAAAATATCATTGAAATAGATTCTATAGTAATGAAATGAAATGAAATGGAGTTTTATATCCTACTGCTCTATATCTTGTTAGACTAATGAAATGAAATGAAATATAGTTTTATATCCTACTGTTCTGTATCTTGTTAGACTAATGAAATGAAATGGAGTTTTATATCCTACTGCTCTATATCTTATTGGACTAATGAAATGAAAATTTAGTTTTATATCCTACTGTTCTGTATCTTATTGGACTAATGAAATGAAAATTTAGTTTTATATCCTACTGTTCTGTATCTTATTGGACTAATGAAATGAAATAGAGTTTTATATCCTACTGTTCTGTACCTTATTGGACTAATGAAATGAAATAGAGTTTTATATCCTACTGTTCTATATCTTATTAGACTAATGAAATGAAATAGAGTTTTATATCCTACTGTTCTGTATCTTATTAGACTAATGAAATGAAATAGAGTTTTATATCCTACTGTTCTGTATCTTATTGGACTAATGAAATGAAATAGAGTTTTATATCCTACTGTTCTATATCTTATTAGACTAATGAAATGAAATAGAGTTTTATATCCTACTGTTCTGTATCTTATTGGACTAATGAAATGAAATAGAGTTTTATATCCTACTGTTCTGTATCTTATTGGACTAATGAAATGAAATAGAGTTTTATATCCTACTGTTCTGTATCTTATTGGACTAATGAAATGAAATGTTCTGTACCTTATAATGAATGAATCAAAGTTTTACTATCTGTACCTTATTGACTATGGGGCTATTATATTGGCCAACAATCCACTTACTGGCGGAAATTAGCAAGAGACAGCGGGCATACCATTCCACAATCAAGTCTAGCTATTGCCTCCCGTGTCCAAACCACGCCACCATTCGTAAGACATGTCAAAACCCGTATTCGTGATACGATGGCTATGTGCATGAGGGACAGTACATTTCGGACTAACGTTTAGACAAGTGTAAGTACATAAATGTCTTATTTGAGTGTGGTAGATGGCCAGGCAGGGCCCATTTTTTAATGCGGAGATGTAAATATGATGGTTATATTTTACTCGGCACCTGCCTGCACCACCTAATGTTAGAATACGAAATGAGCTGACTCATAACAAAATATTTTGTTAAAAAGTTAGATGACAGATTATGATACACAGCCATCGTGTCTGAATAGCTAGCTGGTAGATTGGTTGGTACAATGACAGTTTTCTGTGTCTAGCTAGCTACTAGATTGCTTGGTACATTGATAGTTTTCTGTATCTAACTAGCAAGTAGATTGCTTGGTAGAGTGACAGTTTTCTGTGTCTCGCTAGCTAGTAGATTGCTTGATACAGTGATAGTTTTCTGTGTCTAGCTAGCAAGTAGATTGCTTGGTAGAGTGACAGTTTTCTGTGTCTAGCTAGCTAGTAGATTGCTTGGTACAGTGATAGTTTTCTGTGTCTAACTAGCTAGTAGATTGCTCGGTACAATGACGGTTTTCTGTGGTCAGAATGCGACTAGAGTATACCAAACTATCCTATCTAACTAGCCAGCAGATTGCTCGGTACAATGACAGTTTTCTGTGGTCAGAAATAGACTAGAGCATACCAAACTGTCCTGTCTAACTAGCCAGCAGATTGCTCGGTACAATGGCAGTTTTCTGTGGTCAGAATGTGACTAGAGCGTACTATCGTGTCTAATTAGCTAGCAGATTGCCCATATCCGTTCCCCATGCGTGATATACTAATGGAATATTGGCACGTTTAGAGCCAGACATAAAATGACATTTTTATGGGAGTTCCTTCAATGAGCACCTAGCACTGTCAAGCTTTTGTACTTATAGTACGTACGAAGTTCGTTATATTAACATTGTGAAGATGTAGCATTCCAATTCAATTTGCCAGAAAGAAAACCCCACACAAATTTCTTCAGGAAAAAAACCTTTTTCTGTAATAGAAATAATTTTATTAAATTGGCTCAACGACATCCACGTTTCACCTTCAAAATAGGATTTTAATATTTGATTTTAAGTTGGTATTTAACTTAATATCCATTAAAACATGTAGAATTAACATAGGCTCCACAAGAACCATCGCGGTCGTTCCAAAACGTGGTGTCTGGACACTGCATTACGTAGGGAATCCACCCGACACACGACAGAAAACTGGTACAGTCGTTATTGGGCATCTGAAAGAGCCCATCCGATTGTTCACAGGAGAACCCATGAAAGGCGGGGTGTGCCTCTAAAGGTATACAGTTACCCAGCTGGGAGTAGAACAGGGTGTTGTTGGGGCAGGCTGTTCTTACCCCCACGCCGCCTCCACAGTGAAAGAAGAAGCGAAGGTCGCTCGCATCTTCGAAATATCCGTCAGAATAAGGACAGTTTGGATCTTGCTGTTGTGTCGCCATTATTAAAACTGAAAGGACAAAAAGGAAGTTGTTATGATTTATGCTAATGTTATATTAATGTGGATGAGCAATGCCAGTTAATGTGTAACACGACCCCCGACTGATATAACTCATTAATTGACGTATTGCGCAAGTAGACGGAACATTTAAGATTTGTCTCCTTTGATGAAAAGGTCGTGGTTATCTTGTCCGCGATACGTCAATTGGTTTGGTATTTGATTGATTGGTTGAGCATTCTAACCAACCAGAACATGTTCCAAAACAATTTTTTAAGATCATGGATGGTAAGGAGATTCACCCAAAAACACGAAACGAATCATCTGCTTTTTAATATTTTGTAGACCTACCTGAGAGAACGAAAGCGGAAGACAATAAATACATCATGGTGAAAAAAACTGAAAATAGAATTTTAAAAAATGTCATTGGTCTATCTACCATTAAGTATTCGGCAATCCTCGGCTGTTTCCGTAAAACTTAATCTGTTGCACAGCGAGATTTCACGGTACGTCCTTTTCCGTTAGTGCTTTGCCAGATTCAGCTTTACGGAAACTTTCGAAGATTGCTGAAAGGTTGTCATTCTGCCATAGACGTCCGTCATGAGATTTACTCAGCGTGTTTGTTAGACCAAGTCATTTTATATTCTTTTACAGCAAAGTATCTTGAATTAAAGTTGAATTGCTTGAATTTATGAAATCAATTATTAAATCACTGCTATAAGGTTGGCCCACGTCGACTGACGCTTCAAGACATCTCAACGGAATAGAACTGTCGAAAACTTGACCGAATATAGGATGGTCGTAGATTCTGGCTACTCCGATCGCTGACAACTGATAGCGATGGATGACAACTGATAGCATCGGATGACAAATGATAGAAACGGATGAAAGCCAATACCAACGGATGGGAGCTGATGACAGGTGATGGAAACTGATAGTAATGCATGACAACTGATAGCAACGAATGGCTACTGATAGCAACTAATGGCTACTGATAGCAACGAATGGCAACTGATAACAACAGAAGGCAGCTTAAACGAAAAACACTTAGTTTTAGAGGAAGAACCACAGACGTCTGAACATTGGAATGGTTCAATATGATGCTATCAGCATCACGTATACACAATACAAAGTTTAGAAAAACATCTTAAAAGCTCTTTTAGTCGAAATCCGAGCAATGGCTCTGGCCAAAATAAGTCAAATTAAACTTGATGCTGAGTAGAAAGAGTAAGCATACTCTAACCGGTAAGTAAGTCCACGTACCTGAAATTTATGTCTTATCTGTAACTCTATGTCGTACCTGTAACTCTGTGTCGTATCTGTAACGTGAGTGTAACCAAACTGTAGTATACGACTGTCCTTGTTGCTGTCTACCTTACCTTCCGATGATCAACTATTGTTAAAGCCTCTACCCACTGTCTTATTATTAGTCATTTTTTCAATCAACATTTAAATTTTTTGAACATGGAAATGTCAGGGTTTGGGTGGTGAAAGTATGTTAAAGAGAGGTTGTGTGCAGTGCCGTATTTAGAGGGCAGGCCATTGGGCGATGGTCATGTCATTCCCTCCTTCACCACTTTACCCTTCACGCTTGTGCCATCTTCTGGTATGTTAAGAATACACCCGTGGTTCTGTGTACAATGCAATTTTATTGGTTTTATCTAGTTCCCATGCTGACGGGGAGGGTCAAACTCTGATCTCGGCGTAGGCCGAGATAATATCGTATGATTTTTCATCCCGGTTGCCCATACAGTTCAGAGGGGCTGACACAAAGAAAGCGTATAGTCACTAAGATTATACAATAAACTGAGGCCCCGTCAGCTACAGGCCGTGCATTTGAAAGATCCCTCGACATTTGGAAATCGAAAAAGAGTTGACTGAACCCGCTGTTCTGGCTGCTGCCCTTCTACAATCCTCACCTCCTCATATAAAAGTAGAGTAACACCCCCTTGTCCGAAACGACACTACTGATCCAAAAGGTACCCCACACCCCTTCACTCTAACTGGCAAACTGTCTCTTTAATATTGAGAGAGAGTAATTGGGTGAATATTTAACTCTGGTCTGTAGGTGAATTTGTTACAAGTCATTTCGTTTTTCTTTTATCAATTTAAAATGCCGTGTGGTATTTTTTGAGTTGAAAGTTATGTTTAATAAGAAGTGACATGTTTAGCAGTCCATTAGAAGGTGGGTAAAAAATACACAACGACCTCGGAAATATTTTATTTCTTTTTTGTGTCGCTCATGTTTACGAAAATATATATCACAAAAAGGAAAGGTATACAAGCGTCAAGTGTGTATTATATTGGCTTACAAACACAAAGGTCAAAGAATACAATAAAAAATTTTGTGAGATGCATAACTTTATTGAAAGGATGCGCTTTAAAAAAAAATTCTGACAACAAAAAAATCCATCTCCCCTTCCCTTTAGCCCTTCCCCATCTCCCTCCCCAATCTCATCCCCTCCCATATCTCTCTCATCTTCCCTCCCCAATCTCCTCCCTCCCCCATCTCTCTCATCTTCCTTCTCCTCCCTCCCCATCTCTCTCATCTTCCCTCCCCAATCTTCTCATCTTCTCTCCCAATCTCCTCCCTCCCCCATCTCTCTCAGCTTCCCCCATCTTCCCTCCCCGCTTCCCAATCTCCTCCCTCCCCTACGATTTTACAATTCTGCGAAATATAAATCCAAGATTTAAATGGTATAGCATAGACCAAGTTGAAAATTCATATTTCAAAAACAGAAGGTTGAAAATTTCAAAAGAAATAAGATGGTGCCCTTACTTTAATCCACGATTAAACTCGACACAGTGGGGTGGCTATCTAAATCACAAAATTTCATGTTGAAAAATGAAAAGATTATATATCATTTCGTTTCATCATACATAATAAGATCATTCCAACTTTTTATTGCAGCCAGCGTCAAGAAAAGGGTTTTCTAATGACGTCTACGTTATTTATAGACGTTAAGCTGCGTTTACCGAACACGCGGTATGCGTATTGCGAGACGCGGCAACGGAATGCGGTAACGTGGCGGTATCACTTCAAGTTTCATAAGCATGGCGCCCATCTGGTCCGTTCCTTCTCAAACACGAATCCAGCGGGATGTAATCATCGCCGTTGGGGCCTATGTGATAGCAAGGAAGAGACGTTCTAGACGAATTGTTTGTTTGATTGGTGTTTATAACCAGTACATCACAATGGTGAAAGGCAAGAGATTTCCAGCGAATGTATCACTGCTTTGTTGCAGATGTAGGCCTACAATCACTGAGCCACCGAGGCCCATTAACAGTGTGAGCGAAAGAATCATTACAATTCTGTGACTGAAGCTTGATTTGAGCCCGAGCCTTGTATGTCGGAACAGCTGAAGACGTGCGCTACGCGGCCACGACCGGCTCCAAACTTAAAAATGAAGCTCACCATCTAGTCCTTCCACTTGGCATCGTAGATGAAAGGACGTTCCCTGATGAGTCCGACCAAGCGTTCGATTACATCGTCCGGAGGTTGTTTTCCTCTAGGCATTTTAACTTATGGGCGCAACTTCACACGCAGGAATGCATGGAAACTATAAAATAAAGCTCGGATAATTGCTACACTGGGACTTACCGCCACGGTATAATATACTGCGCGGAAATATCGCTACTCCGACCGATCGGTTTTACTGCGTACCGCGTGCCGCGACCGACTCGCATAACGCAGTCCGGTAAACGGTTTAAGGGAAATGGCTTGGAGCGAAAAAATCTCTATACCGCATTCCGTTGCCGCGTCCCGCGATACGCATACCGCGTGTTCGGTAAACTCACCTTATGATGTGTTTCAATTCGCGAATATCAAGACTCAAAATGACTTGTCGGAGCGGAGGATGTCAGAGGTCGGAGGATGTCGGAGGAACCAAGACACCATCCTCCCTCCCCCATTTCCCTCATCTTCCCTCCCCATCTCCCTCATCTTCCCTCCCCATCTCCCTCATATCCCTCATCTTCCCTCCCCCATCTCCCTCATCTCTCTCATCTTCCCCCTCCCAACTCCCTCATCTTCCCTCCCCGATCTCCCTAATCTTCCCTCTCCCATCTCCCTCACCTTCCCTCCCCCATCATCTCCCCTCCTCCCGCGCCCCATCTAAAATACGTCTGTCTGATGTATCATTATCATTATTGTAAACTACATGACAGAAATTACGTGAAAAAAACGCGTCTTGATAATGCGAGACTACGAGATAGCGTAATATGTATATATAACTCTATGATGGTTGACAGAAATTTAGCTGGCTTGTAGTTGACGGCCAGTTAACACTTAGTACGGTACGTAGTTTTGCATTTAAACTTCCAGGAATACGGTACAACTGGAGTTACGTTTATTGAAATTGGAATCTTCTCCAAATATTTATTTTATCAAACTCAAATTGTAGTTTTTAAGACGTTCTAATTTTAGATGGGGATTTCCCATGTTTTTATTTCCATTTAGTTGTTTGTAAACAACATATATTATAAAACATACAATATTGTAGCGTGTAACTGGATTTATTAATCTGTGGTTGGGGTTTTGCTATACAGCCCCGGAATCACGCAAAAATCTCTCCGTTAACGGGAGCAAGTGTCAGCTCAAAAGTGACTTAGTTCTATCCCAATTTTGAGAACCCCCAAAGACTTGAATGTACAAAATGGGGCGATGTTGTTCTACTGCAAAGAACACACTGGGACCAATATCTCAATTTACTCAATGAAAGAAACAAGTGTTTTAAAACTTTATATATAAAAATATAACTTATCTATATTCAAATACAACAATACACTTTATGAAAAATGGTGTTAAAAAATATAAATGGGCGCTGCTACGAGACACAAATTGAGCAACATGAATCACATAGCACAGTCCTATACACAAATTGAATTGGTCTAAAATAGGAACCACGAACCAGAGCACTATCCTATTCACAAAGTGGTACAAAATCACAATCACGTATAATAAAAACAATGCACAATAGCCCAAAATATTTGGGGTGGCACACACGTTAAAAATACCACACAAACACTAAATTATACTGGAACAACACAAATCACAAAGGATCATCCAGAATAAAAGAATTAACACCGGTAAAAATAGTCACAAAGGACCGCCCCATAAAAATTGGGTAATGAGGTACCGCCGATAAAGCTAGTCACATGTATGGTGGCCCATGAGCTGTTTTATTATTTTATTCATGAAAATACCTTTCTTTTGAATTTGAATTCATTTTTATTTCACTTTCATTTTGTTTTCAAATTCATTTTTCTTTCATTTCGTTTTTTATTTTACTTTCGTTTTGTTTTTAAAATAATTTTACTTTCATTTTGTTTGTAAATTCGTTTTACTTTCATTTTGCTTTTAAATTCATTTTACTTTCATTTCGTTTTTACTTTTTATTTCACTTTCGTTTTGTTTTTAAAATCATTTTACTTTTTATTTCAATTTCGTTTTGTTTTTAAAATCATTTTACTTTTACTTTCATTTTCGTTTTAAAAAAAAATTTCTTCTTCATTTACTGCGCCATAGTGTCCAGATTATCCAGTCACACTTTCTATCATCCAAGCAATGACGTCATTGCATGCAAGTGTGAGCAGGAGTTATTTCCCTTCAATGTGCTCTTCCCCTTAACGGAAATAGCACCACATGTAGTGTTTTGTCACAAGTTCTGTAGATTTTGAGATAAAATAGTATCTCAATCTCCATAATTAATACCACAAACAAATAAATATGTCTAAACGGAAGAGCACATTCAAGGGAAATAACTCCTGCTAACACTTGGATGGTAGACAAAAGTGTGACTGGATAATCTGGACACTATGGCACAGTAAATGAAGAAGAATTTTTTTTAAAAAACGAAAATGAAAGTAAAAGTAAAATGATTTTAAAAACAAAACGAAAGTGAAAGTAAAATAAAAAATGAAATGAAAGTAAAAGTAAAAATATTTTAAAAACAAAACGAAAGTGAAATAAAAAATAAAATGATTTTAAAAACAAAACGAAAGTGAAATAAATAGTAAAAATGAAATGAAAGTAAAATAAAAAATAAAAGTAAAATAAAAAACGTAATGAAAGTAAAATGAATTTAAAAACAAAATGAAAGTAAAATAAACGAAATGAAAGTAAAATAAAAATAAAAGTAAAATAAAAAACGAAATGAAAGTAAAATGAATTTAAAATCAAAATGAAAGTGAAATAAAAATGAATTCAAATTAAAAAGAATATTTTTTTCATAAATAAAATAATAAAATAGCTATGGCGCTCATGGGCCACCATACACATGGGACCTTCGGGTTATAGCTCATAGAGAAAGATTCCTAAACTGCTGAAAGCACACTATCTTTCTGTCTTTCTTTCTTTCTGAAGAATCATTGGTTGGTTGGTAGATGACAAGTTAACGTTCGCTTCCAGCGGATGCTGATATCGCAAACTAGGTAGTTGTTGGTAGTCGTAGTAGTTGGTAGTTGGATTGGATCAAATTGGATGATTCGGTGTTGTTGGTTTGCTTGTTGATTCTTCGTTAGATCTGGTCGGGTCGAGTGACATGGCGGTGAAACTCGGCCCTGGATGGTGTGACGTGAGTTACTCAATCTCCTTCATTCTTCCAAACTCGTTCTGATCATGGTATTTCTTGTTGATTGGTAGTTGAATGGTAGTCGTTGGTTTGGTTTGGTTAGATTATCTGTTATCTGTTGGGAAAAAAGGAAGTGAGAAAAGAGGGAGGAATAAAAATAAAAGGGGAGGGGGGAGCTTTCAACAAAAGGGGGAAAGATGTTCTCTGATGTTTCTGCAATGAGACTTGTTAAATTGATTGGATATAATTAAAAAGTGTTAAGAAACTTTGAGTATAAAAACTTAGCCTATCTGTTCAAGACAGATTTGGTTATAAAATGGAAGACTAGTTCCATTATCGTATACCAGTGGTCCGTGGGTGGAGCCAAAACATTCAGTATGGTGAGTGGTATGCCGTTGGTTTCCAGGTACTCTAGTAGTGGCTTACGAGCGGGTTTCAGTTCAGTGCATTGAATGAGGACATGCGACCTTGTGGCAACGTGGCTGCAGCGACATTTAATGGCGTTGAACTGATGATCTCGTAGTACGTTGTTGGTCCGGAGATTGGTTGCCACTTTGCAGATGGCTACAGATGGATGGTTTGGTTTGGTTGGGTTTGGTATCTTCGGATCAATCTGGTATCTTGCGGTGTCGAGGTTCCGTAACAAGTCGGCCCATTTCTGGTTGATCCTAGAAGACACGATACTGATCCTAAGAAGTCGTTCAAGGATCGTTACTTGATCGAGCTGATGCTCTCTCAATAGATCAGTGACCGCTTGCCCGTAAGAAATAATCCGATTCTTCTGGTTATTTCCGACACGAGTAAATCTTCTGATGCTGGAATACGTTGGACAGCTTTCGGACAAATACTGAAGTTTCCCCCAGAATTTGAGAGATAGTTCCTCCCTCCGAAGAGAGAGGGGTTTCTCTCCCACCTCCTTAAGTAGCGCCTCATTCTTCGTACCTACGGCTGCCCTGGTGGCAATACGTATAGCTTTCATGTGTAGAACGTCGAGTTTCTTCAGTTGAGTATCACTTGCTTTACCATAGGCAATACCATAATCAATAACTGAACGATCCAGTGACCTGTACATCATCATTAGAGTTTCTCTGTTTGCTCCCCATGTGGTACCTGAAACATAACGCATAACATTTAAGATTTTTGTAGACCGGTTACAGATATAGTCAATGTGCGTACTCCAAGTCAGACACTTGTCAAAGTGTACTCCAAGGAACCTTACTGAATTCTCATGCTTAATCTTCACACCATTCAGTCTAAGGTCAATACTGTCGTGATCTTTCTTTCTGCTACAGAACAAACCGACGGTTTTAGCTTCCAAAATAATGAAGCCCCAGTCGTTTGCCCATTTAGCAACTTGGTTCAGAGCAGTTTGCATACGCCAATTCACTTTATTGAGGTCATTGTGACCAGTCCATATCGAACTGTCATCTGCATATAGAGCCGTGCTAACCGAGAGCTCTATATGCTTTACATAATCCAGGGCAAGATCGTTGATCATAATGCTGAAGAGGGTAGAGCTAATAACAGAGCTTTGCGGGGTGCCATTCTCCAACGAGTGCTTTTCGCTGAGAGAATTGGCGACGTTCACTTGTATCTGGCGATCCCTTAAGAAGTCTTGGATCCACCTGAACATGCGACCCCGAATGCCATGTTTATTTAGTTTAAAAAGCAAACCATCAACCCAGACTAAGTCAAAGGCCTTGGATAGATCCAGGAATACTGCGCTGAAGTAGTTCTTCTTTCCGAGTTGGGCGGCCATGTCGTGTTGAAGTCGAACGAGTTGATCCATTGTTGACCGTTTCTCTCTGTAGCCGCTTTGGTTGGGATCGATAAGACCATTTATTTGACAGTGGTATCTAATTCTATTATTGACCATCGTCTCAAATGTTTTACATAGAGTCGAGGTCAGAGAAATAATAGCAGTATGAACTGCATAGACTTTTATTTTTCTGCGGTTTTGGTAAAGGAATGACCATTGCCGTTTTCAAACTTTCCGGAATTGTACCATTATACCATGATTTGTTGAATTATTCTAGTAGAACTGTAGACGCTTCCATTGGTAACTCCTTTAACATGCTGTACTTGATATTATCTTCACCAGTGGCACTGTCTTTCTTACTGTACAGTGCTTTCTTCAGCTCTTCGAGGGTGAAGGGAGCGTTAAGATCCCGTTCGTCCTCTAAGGGCGAGTGATGAATCGGAGTGTGGTTGGTGTAGAAGGTCTTCTTGTTCTTTAGAAATTCTTTGGTATGGTTGGTATCAGCACTGCCGTCAGCATAACACTTGGCTAACAAATTGGCTTTTCCTTCATTGCTGTATTCTGTGGAATCCCTGTAACAAAGAGTTGGAATGGAAGAATTAGATTTTTTACCAAGCATTGAGTCTATTTTACCCCAGACAGATCTTAGGTTGGTCTTCTCATTTAATGAGTTGCAGAACTCCTGCCAGTGCTTTGTTTGTGAGTCACGCAACAGAGCAGATGTAGAAGCCTTGACCGCTAAGTAATCTGCCTTGGTATAACGGTCCGATTTCCTCTGAAACTGCCGTAGAGCACGCTTGCGAGCATCCACGGCAGCCTGGAGTTCATCGGACCAACAGGACTTGAGTGACCTACGTGCAATGCCATCCTTAGTCCGGGGAATAGAGCCCATAGCAGCATCAGTCAACTTCCCAGAAAAACTAGAGACGTCCTCGTCCCTTGCCAGATCTAGCTTGGAACGAGTGAAATAACGCCTAAAGAAATCCCAGTTAGCCTTCCCTAGTCTCCATTCGCCTTGACACATGGCTTCCTCCTTCACAATATTACGCGACAGCGTGATTTCAATGACAACATGGTCACTTCCAAGGGTCTCACTGGTTGCTTCCCACGTACAGTCCTTGGCTAACCGACTGCTTACTAATGTGAGATCGAGATGCGAACCAAGAGGAGCAATTGCACCAACGTAAGTAATGCTACCATCATTTATGCTAACCAGGTCATTGGCCTCAATGAACTCACCAACTTGTCTACCATTAGTGTCAGTCGTTGGCGAGCCCCACAATACGTGTTTGGCGTTGAAATCACCAAGCACAATATTGTCGGTCCCGGGCAACTGATCGTAAACATACTGATATTCACTGAATCGTTGAAGTTTGCCTTTGACTTCGGGTCGATAAATATTAACGATAGAAAAAAACCTTTGACTTGTCGGTAAAGGATACCGCCTGTGCCTCCAGAGGAGCAATGGTTTTCAGAGGAACCTCACTATGGGATATACCATTTTTGATGTAGATGGCCAGACCCCCACCACTTCGATGGTTGAGAGCATTAGGTCTGAAGAATCATTGGGTAGGTAGGTAGATGACAAGTTAACGTTCGCTTCCAGCGGATGCTGATATCGCAAACTAGGTAGTTGTTGGTAGTCGTAGTAGTTGGTAGTTGGATTGGATCAAATTGGATGATTCGGTGTTGTTGGTTTGGTTGTTGATTCTTCGTTAGATCTGGTCGGGTCGAGTGACATGGCGGTGAAACTCGGCCCTGGATGGTGTGACGTGAGTTACTCGGTCTCCTTCATTCTTCCAAACTCGTTCTTATCATGGTATTTCTTGTTGATTGGTAGTCGAATGGTGGTCGTTGGTTTGGTTTGGTTTGGTTAGATTATCTGTTATCTGTTGGAAAACTCGAAGACCTGAATGAAGAATCATTCGTCTGCTTGAGTTTATATGGCGAGAAAATCTCGCGAGATCACAGGTAACCGTTATCTCGCAGCAGCGTGAAATTACGTGACAATAATAAAAATTACGGATTTAATAATGAATATGTACAAATAATAAAAATAAATACGGATGATGATATAAACAAGAAAATTAAATAAGGGACAAAGACGGGAGCAATGTGAGAAGTAAGCCAAAGGTTAATTAAATTTTGAAAAGTAAATAAAAGCCAAAAAGATAAAAGAATAATTTTGATTCATCACAATATGAACAAGATTTAGGCTTTCGCCTATTATCCCTTTCGCCTATTATCCCTTTCGCCTATTATCCCTTTCGCCTATTATCCCTTTCCAAATAGATAAACTTTTAAAATGATTAAAAAAAAGTGTTTACTTCTTAAAGATGGGTTTCCTTATTTTCAGTTATGAATATGAAAATGCCAATACTTATATGAATAGAAATTCTAATGACATCGAAAAATACCATTTTGTCTTACATGACCATAATTAATTCATAATTAGCTAAAGTAGAAGAGAATTACCAACAGAGTTGCAATGAGTGACCGATCAAGGAAGGTCTTTTTTCGTTTATACATGAACATTTATTGGTTCAAACTCTTAGGCCTAATTATATGCAATAAGAACACATTCACCTTGTGAAGATGAAGTTTATAATAGCTTGACATTGTGAAGATGTAGTTTGTAATAGCTTGACATTGTGAAGATGAAGTTTGTAATAGCTTGACATTGTGAAGATGGAGTTGGTAATAGCTTGACATTGTGAAGATGAAGTTTGTAATAGCTTGACATTGTGAAGATGAAGTTTGTAATAGCTTGATATTATGAAGATGTAGTTTGTAATAGCTTGACATTGTGAAGATGAAGTTTGTAATAGCTTGACATTGTGAAGATGTAGTTTGTAATAGCTTGACATTGTGAAGATGAAGTTTGTAATAGCTTGACATTGTGAAGATGCCTTAAAGCATGAAATATATTTGACTGTTGATATTGTTTTCAGAATGGCCCCAGTATTACATGCCACCTCTAGACCGTTTGTTATGTCCGGGATTGATGTAAGTAACTTTGAAGAACCGTTGAGAGAACGGGCTGTCTGCCCTATTTGTCAGCAGATCCTGCAGAAACCAATGCAGTTATCGTGTGGTCACCATGTTTGTCTGAAATGTTTAAAAGTGGTTTTCCAGAATAATGATTCGGCTATCTGTCCAGTTAATGATGATGATGACTGTAAAAATATCAACAGAAGTAAGGTAATAACTTATATCTAAAAATGGATTTTCATTTTTCTCTTCATCTCAATCAGGCATTAGCCCGCCCTTTTTCCATTTCCAACTGTCGAGGGATCTTTAACGTGCACAGTCTGTAGCACACGGGGCCTCGGTTTATTGTCCCATACGCATCTGCATCACTGACAGGACCGGGTTGAAAAATCCGAAGGTATTATCTTGACCTATGACAGGATTGAACCCTGGACCTCCAAGTTAGGCAGCAAGCGTCTAACTCACTGAGCCATCGCAGCCCCCGCTGACAATAAGCAGTTTTCTATTCCACTTCAATATACCATATATTGGATTTGATCTGCTATTTTGTATTCCATGTTTCGACAAGAAACGTTCCGATTGGTTGAAATAACGTCATAAGAACGGGACTGTGATATAAAACTTGTTGGGTCACAATGGAGAAGAAATGTATCAGAAAGCAAGGAAGAAACGAAATTGTAATCTGATTTTGATTAGATTGACTACAGCCATACCCCTTGTATCTGTTGTAGGTATTTCTGGATGTCAGTGTTGGTAAACAAGTAGACAAACTCGTTGTTACAAACCCAAATATTAAATCTGAATTTAGTGCTGACAGCCGTTGGAACAAAACTCAGGTAATCTGAATGAATGTAATGGTGAGGGTGGTCGAAAGGTTAAGTTTGCGTCATCTATCATCCATCATCATCATTATCATCATCATCACCATTAGAGAGTGCAGAATGTCTAGAAAATATAGTCTCTTGCCGATATGACCAAGGGTCTAACAAGTGTAAGTGTAAAATTCCAGTCAGTCCAACTACCAACTACTACGATTACCAACTACTACGACTACCAACAGCTACTTAGTCTACGATATCAGCATCCGCTGGAAGCGTACGCTAGCCTGTCATCTACCAACAACTATCTAGTTTGCGATATCAGCATCCGCTGGAAGCGTACGTTAACCTGTCATCTACCAACAACTACCTACGTTGCGATTTCAGCATCCGCTGGAAGCGTACGTTAACCTGTCATCTACCAACAACTACCTAGTTTGCGATACCGCTGGATGCGAAAGTTAGTCATTTACCAACCAACCAACCAAACGGTCAAAGGTGAATAACAAAAAAAAGGGTGAATTTTTGATTTATATTTTTTAATATTCGCTTTATTAGCCGATTTTGCTTTAAATTAAGATATCCGTTTCCCTTTTCAGAATTAAATTATTTTATTTCTATCCTTTCAGAGATCCTCAAATGATATAAACTCCAGAATATTGAAAAATGAACAAGATTTGAAAGATCTTAAGGTTTGTGCCTGTCTCTATCCCTTTGTATGCAATATAGAAATAGGATCGGATATCCGAATATCTGTCCAATCTTAATCGAAATTAGACTTCACTTCCGTTCGTATTTTATTAGTTTCGTATCGAAAGCTATTAGCTTTGTACGTAACCACTACAGTTACGTTTAACACTGTCCTTCTTGACTTTTCATTCTGTTAACCTTTGCTTGACCTCTGGTTTAACCAATCATGTGGCTGCCCTTCCAGCGACGGGATAATAATTATCGTTATAATGAAAACCTTATTTTTTCAGTCGGTAATTATTTCCCAATATGAACAAATTGAATCTTTGGATCGTAAAGTGTCAGAATTGACCCACAAAAATAATTCACTAGAACAAGATGGTTTATTGAAAGAAGAAGAAAGGGTGAAGAATCTTACACAAATACAAAATAATGATATTGGGGCAGTCGTTAGTAAGGATAGTCGGGCAGTCGTTAGTAAGGATAGTCGGGCAGTCGTTAGTAACGATATTGGGACAGTCGTTAGCAAATTTGGTACCATCAATCGTATGGCAGGTTAGTATGAATGTTAATACGGTTTTTGTGCTCATCAAGTATATAGAGTTTGAAAATGTTCCTTTCATTGAGTTTTGAGTTTTCTTCCAGGCCCAAACTATCCAATTGATGCAAATGAAAGTCGTCATTATGTTAAATATAGATTGAAAAGGGTTGCAAGGATTGTCGTGAGAGCAAATGTTCATGTTCAGGGGAATCAGTAATCAGTCTAAAAAAATAAATTTGTATTTTTTTAATAGAATTAGTGATAGGCGTCGTGTGTGTATGAGTATGAAACCGTTATATCGGTTCTTTCTTATATGAATTTACTAACAGTTAGTTGTTACTAAAAAACACCTTATGATAATCAAAAGTTATCTCTGTTTTGTGACCTAGGCCAGTGCTTTTATTGGGATTTCTAAATCTCAATCTCACTCTAACACCATGTTACTGGGTATACAAACCCATGTTACAAACTTACATCAGCTTAACCACTCTCCGTAAGGGATGTCAAAATTGACAAAACCAGTCTGTTGTCTCGGAAAAGCGGTTTGCGTTTTCAGATTTCAGAAGTAGATGGTCAAGTCCAAAGCCATGCTGCAAAAAAATCTAACATGGGTGCTCTAAGCTACTGAGAGCTGTACTTGGCACAATGACTGTAGCTTCTGTGGTGAGAATGAGAGTGAGAGACTAGAGTAAAACCAAAGTATCGTGTCTAACTAGCCAGCAGATTGTTTGGTACAATGACAGTTTTCTGTAGTTGGAATGAGACTAGAGCATACCAAACTATCGTGTCTAACTAGCTATCAGATTGCTTTGTACAATGATAGTTTTCTGTAGTCAGAATGAGACTAGAGCATACCAAACTATCGTGTCTAACTAGCTATCAGATTGCTTGGTACAATGATAGTTTTCTGTAGTCAGAATGAGACTAGAGTATACCAAACTATCGTGTCTAACTAGCTATCAGATTGCTTGGTACAATGATAGTTTTCTGTAGTCAGAATGAGACTAGAGTATACCAAACTATCATGTCTAACTAGCCAGCAGATTGCTTGGTACAATGATAGTTTTCTTTAGTCAGAATGAGACTAGAGTATACCAAACTATCGTGTCTAACTAGCAAGCAGATTGCTTGGTACAATGACAGTTTTCTGTAGTTGGAATGAGACTAGAGTATACCAAACTATCGTTTCTAACTAGCTATCAGATTGCTTTGTACAATGATAGTTTTCTGTAGTCAGAATGCGACTAGAGCATACCAAACTATCGTGTCTAACTAGCTAGCAGATTGCTTGGTACAATGACAGTTTTCTGTGGTCAGAATAAGACTAGAGCATACCAAACTATCGTGTCTAACTAGCTAGCAGATTGCTTGGTACAATGAACGTTTTCTGTAGTCGGAATGAGACTAGAGCATACCAAACTATCGTGTCTAACTAGCAGATTGCTTGGTACAATGACAGTTTTCTGTAGTCAGAATGAGACTAGAGTATACCAAAGTATCCTGTCTAACTAGCCAGCAGATTGCTTGGTACAATGATAGTTTTCTGTAGTCAGAATGAGACTAGAGTATACCAAAGTATCCTGTCTAACTAGCCAGCAGATTGCTTGGTACAATGATAGTTTTCTGTAGTCAGAATGGGACTAGAGCATACCAAACTATCCTGTCTAACTAGCTATCAGATTGCTTTGTACAATGATAGTTTTCTGTAGTCAGAATGAGACTAGAGTATACCAAAGTATCCTGTCTAACTAGCTAGCAGATTGCTTGGTACAATAACATTTTTTGCGATGACATAATATTTTATTTCACTTATACAAAGAATCATAAATATAAATTAATGAAGAAATAAATATGAAATATATAGAAGAAGGGAGACAACCGATGTCATGTATTGTATATCAATAAATAAGTCCAATGATATCAGTACCTAGTCGTCGTTTGTGCTGTTCTTATGTACAACGAAAACAGGATTAAATGAAACTTAAAAGACAAGGTGCGCATTTTTTTTTTTTTTTTTGACCGATCGTATTTTAGTCACAGAAACTTGAATTTGTTAGCTAAGCTAATAAGTATTAGTGTTCACGGCTCACCATCGAAATTGAGCCTTCACATCCATGTGTGTTTAGAATTATCCACGTTTGAATGTTATAATGATGACTCGTCATTTTAAGATACTCTGTGATATATAGAAAAGATATATTATATGGTAATAGTGAGTAAAATTTCTAGTTTGAAGTATTTTTAAAGGAATAATACGATTTTCGTACATTTCCAGTACTTTCGAAGACATTTTACATATTTTAAGACTCAAATCAACCCCCCAAAATGGCGAACCTGTACCTTAAACTAAAACGTGCGGAAAGTTTATTTATTGATAGTATTACTAAAAGTTGTGTTTTTTTTTTATTTGTAAACGGGTAAAATCTTTAACATCTGACATTTTCGGCTCGGTCGCAAACTAAGGATGTGCGGTTGAACAATAACCCATCTGGACATCCCATAAGATGTGGCAGGTTGTTCGCACAGTGAAGGTATTGCGTACAGTCTCCGCCTATCGCAAACATACCATCAGTAGCAGGGCATTCGACACCGGAAATAGATTCCACATACGTTTGGATATTACACCTACTGATAATCGAATCAAACACTGCCCCTAATGCACATGCACTTCGTGTGGGAGCGAAGTTGATACACTTGTAAAACATTGTACTGTTTTGTGGATCTGCGAAGTCGCCATTGGCCTGGGGACATCTGAAGAAAGTTTGTGATGTTACCAAGGCTACAAGAGCTGAAAAACATAAAATCACAATAAAATGCCTTAGTGAGCTCATATTCACAGTGTCAAGCTATTACCATAAGACGGGGTTCGCAATATCTTATATAAGACGGGGTTCGCAATATCTTATATAAGACGAGGTTCGCAATATCTTATATAAGACGAGGTTCGCAATATCTTTTAAGACGAAGTTCGCAATATCTTATATAAGACGAAGTTCGCAATATCTTTTAAGACGAGGTTCGCAATATCTTATATAAGACGAGGTTCGCAATATCTTATATAAGACGAAGTTCGCAATATCTTTTAAGACGAGGTTCGCAATATCTTTTATAAGACGAAGTTCGCAATATCTTATATAAGACGAAGTTCGCAATATCTTTTAAGACGAGGTTCGCAATATCTTTTAAGACGAAGTTCGCAATATCTTCTATAAGACGAAGTTTCGCAATATCTTATATAAGACGAAGTTCGCAATATCTTATATAAGACGAGGTTCGCAATATCTTTTAAGACGAAGTTTCGCAATATCTTTTAAGACGAGGTTCGCAATATCTTATATAAGACGAGGTTCGCAATATCTTATATAAGACGAAGTTCGCAATATCTTATATAAGACGAGGTTCGCAATATCTTATATAAGACGAAGTTTCGCAATATCTTATTAATACGAAGTTTCGCAATATCTTTATAAGACGAAGTTCGCAATATCTTATATTATACGAAGTTTCGCAATATCTTATATAAGACGAGGTTCGCAATATCTTCTATAAGACGAAGTTCGCAATATCTTATATAAGACGAAG